GTGAAGGGAGGGAAAGTATTTTGGAGTCATATTTTCCTTCCAAATTTTCCTCCCAAATTGGGCGGATTTGGGAAGAAAGTGAGAGGAAGGAAAATTTCAAGTTTTATTTTCTTTTTCCTCCTAACTCGGGAACACGAAAACATAAAATTTTCCTCTCATTTCTTTTCATTTCCTTCGAACTCGGGAACACGGTATAATGAATATTTCCTTCCCCTCCATTTCTTTCGGTCAAAAATTTCCTTCCCTTTCCTTTGATGAATTAACAAAAAAACTGGAGAACATGGCGTTAAGCTAATAAACTAAACAAATAACACAACCATACATATTTTACATTTTATACATAAAAGTTCATACGAACCTAAACAAAGATTACAATCATACATATTTTACAATCATACAAAATTTCGATTTCATATAAACTTAAACAAGTAAATTAACATTGTATACATACAATTTCAATTTCATATGAACCTAAAAAATTTGAATTTCATATAATATTTTAACCTATGTATTTTTAATTTCCGAACAGTATATTGCTAAAATATGATGTTTTACAAACCTTCAAATTTTTGAAATTTAATAAATTGTATAACCTTTTTCATTAAACCTACTACCTTTATTACTTTTTTTGAAAGGGAACTTCCCTAACGAGGGTTTTCGAAGCAGCTTTCGCCCACCGATTAATTCTCCGCTGCAAACATCAGGCTTTGTCTTATGCAGTGGAGTCACTGCAGACGAACATTCATGGCCACAAGGGCTAAGTGGTACCAAGATAAGATTTAAACAAAGGGTCAATAGGTTATACACCATATCTTCTATATGTTTTACCAAGTCACCACATCCCAAATGGTTACCTTTAATATTGTTCGATTATAAAACTTATTTACATCTTTGTAATCCTTTTCAGGGTCTCCATTGTATCACTGAAGATGAAACCGTCGTTTCTAACAAAATTTATGGCAATACAACATAAAAATTTAATAGCTTTTCAACCTAGTTCAATGTACAAATATAGTCATAAGTAAAGGACAATGCCAATATAAGTAAAGTACAAATATTAGTATTTATGAAAATATAGTATTGTATTTAAATCGAGACTTATGTCATATTTGGTCAATTAACTTTTGTTTTCGTTTTTAAACTTAACTTTTAAAAGGTAAGCTAACTTTTAATTTTTCCGCTAAAATGGTCACTATTACCAATAATAAAAGGTTATCATATATATATATATATATATATATATATATATATATATATATATATATTATATATATATATATATATGAGTAAAATCATTTGAGAACACTAAAAAGGTTGAGAACGCGAAAACAAATCTTAACCATTTAAAATCTTAAATCTAAGGTTAACATTAATGTGTATTTTGTGTAAAATAATGAAAGTAATGTAACTGATTTGTAACTTTTAAATGGGTTGAAGCGTATTTAGGGCATTTCCTTTTTTTTTTCTTTGTTTAATATGGAATCTCTCTCTATATCTATCTATCTCTCTCTCTCTCTCTCTCTCTCTCTCTCTCTATAAAAATTAGGTTATCATCTCACAAAACCTCTGCCGTTAACAATTTTGGTGAACCCTTGACTCCTACAACATCTTTGTCCCCGCATCGAACCCATCACCACCATACAACTCCGAAATTGTTGGATCTGTGCAGAGGGTCGGATCTTGTGAAGTCATAAAATAGCGGCGGTTGACCACCGCCACTATGAGATGTAAGGTAAATCATCGTTTCTAAACCTTCTGATAGAAGAAAAAAGAAGCAAGGGAAATATCATCGTTTTTTAAACACCCATGTCAGTTTTTTTTTTGCAGTTTTATTTTTCTTTTTAAAAACTTACCTTTAATGGACTTAGGTGGTGTATTTGCATTCCTATCCACTTTTTTTTTAATAAGAAGATCTATGTCTCCATTTTAGATCAATTAAGGAGTTCTCAATAATCTCATTGTATTTTCTAAGGTTCTAAATAACGTAAGATGTGACTTGACGGTAATGTCAAACCTCAAGTTTTTTCGAGCTATGGCAAATCACTTCGTTTGTAAGGCTTGCCATTAGGCAACAAATATATATATATATATATATATATATATATATATATATATATATATATATATATATATATTCTACTATTATTCATTTTTATATACATATATGACTAAATACGGCAATTTGTCAAAGTTCAGCGGCAACTATAAGTCTTGGAGTTGTGGCGAGTCATGGCGGAGCTATGACAAGCTTTTTAGAACCTTGGTATTTCCCTTTCTTTTTCTGACATTGGCTCTTGCTTTCTTTGTTTATCAACCGAAGATAATCAATATAATATGGTGTTAATACCAAATGGCATTGTGAATATCTAGAAAACTTTTATATGTATATTCATTATATTTATTTATGATTACAATCATAATCCTAATTGAATGTATAGTACTATACTATATAGGTTTATATAATATTTATTTATGATTATAATTACATATTTAAATGAATAAAATATATATGGTGTATATGGGTTTTCATTTTTTTGTTTAGATATATTAATTGTTTATAATAGTTTTGATTTATTTATTTATTTACTAATTGTTTATATGAGTTTTGTTTTGTTTTTTTAGGTTTGAAGTTATATGTGGTTACCACACAACAATCAGAATTTTCAGTGAGACGATTAAACCTACAAGTGCAACAAAGTGGACAAGAAACTGGTGGTAAACATGAAAGACAATGTGTCATATTTGTTAAGTATCACTGAAGTTAGTTAGACAAGAACGTGGATTTTAGCAGCAAAAAATAATCACAGATGTTAAAACAACGATTTCAAGTTAAAAGATTCAAAACAAAAATATATAAGAAACCTACAATATTTTATGTTATATTCATTTATAATTACAATTGTTGTAAAAAATTTTATCTAAATATTTTTCTTTATTCATTTATGATGATTATACATGTATTTAATTATCTATTTGTATATTGAGATTTATTCATTAATGATTACAAGTGTATTCGATTTTTAATCTTTATATTATGCTTTATTTGCTTATATTTCAATCATATTCCATATATGATTACAACTATCTGCTTTACAAAAATTTAGTAAAAAAACTAAATTTATAAAATCATAAAACTATATTATGTTATTATTTATGAATAGATGTTTCATCCAGATATAAGTTTCCAATATGTTTTATTTATTTATGTTTATAGTTTTATTTTAACTTTTTTTCTAGTAATTATGCTATATTCGTTTATTATAATAAATCAATTCATCTATTCATTCACAATTACAACAGATTCATACTACAAATATGTTTTTATTTTTGTATGATAACACATATTAGGTTGAAATCATTAATTCATCAATCATTTTGATATACTGGTAAAAAATATAAAAAATAAAAAAACATTTTTTAATCATGGTAAAAACGTTTTTTTTTTTTAATATTCTGATTGATTAAAAATAGATTAAATTTATTTCTAATATTTAGGTAAAAAAATCAATTAATTAGATAAGATCTCATGATTGTAGGAATTAATTTATTATCTATATTTAATTATATTGTAAAATTTCTTTTACATCCCTATGGAATGATTGATCTACAATTGTTCTCGCGTTCTGTATATTTTAGGTGTTTTCATTTGATCCCCTTTATATATATATATATATATATATATATATATATATATATATATATATATATATATATATATATATATATGTTTAGGTTTATTTGAAACAATTATAATTTTGTAAGACCGTGAGATCAAATCTAAAAATAATTTTAAAATGCAAAATAAACGGAAAAAATCCAAAAATTCTTTTTTAAGTATTATTTTCGGAACTTAAATTAACTAAAAAGAAGATAAAAAAATAAAAAATAAATAAATAAATCTCGTTTTTTTTTTTTTTTTTTTTTTTGAAAAATACGTGAAATATATTCTAATAGAATATTACACTGTACATATTCTAAAAAATAATTTTAAAATGCAAAATAAATGGAAAAATCTAAAATTTTTTTTTTTTAAATATTATTTTCGGAACTTGAATTAACTAAAAAATATAAAAAAATAAAAAAAATCCCGTTTTTTTTTTAAAAAATACGTGAAATATTCAAATAGAATATTACACTGTACATATTCTAAAAATTAATTTTAAAATGCAAAATAAATGAAAAAATCAAAAAATTCTTTTTTTAAATATTATTTTCGGAACTTGAATTAATTAAAAAAAATAAAAAAAATACGTCTCACGGTTTCACAAAATTAAGCCGTTTCACATTAACCTAACCCCATATATATATATATATATATATATATATATATATATATATATATATATATATATATATATATATATATATATATATATATATATATATATATATATATATATATATATATATGGAAATGATGTGAATACATTTCTCACATGCTTAGACCAATAACACGAGTTCATCATTTGAAGTTACTTTTAAGGGTCACGAGATGAGTTCAGATAAAAGTTGGTGCACTTTTAAGAACATAACTTCTTATTTACTTATCAAAACACATACCAAATTAATAGTTTACTTGTAAAATCCACTGCTAACATATGTGTGAGACCTATGAGGTTATCTAAGAACGCCCTATACGGATATTATGTTAACATCGATGTACATGAATGTACAAAAATATAAATTATGTCAATGATATTGTAACACAATGCATAATATTACAAAAGAGTTAAAGTTTGCCGATCGATAATCCATAAGTCTAGCTTAAGAATGGTCTGAAAATACATTTTTCATTTTCTTTGAAAATTATGTGCTCCATTTGCCTGGGCTCTACAAATATCTCCGCAGGATAAAAATGTAATAATTCTCAAGCACAAAAAAATGAAAAATGGAGAAAATCGTAATCGTATTTTGAGTTGGATATTCGTATGTCTCAAAAATGGCGTGAAGCCTCTCTTTGCAGTGACAAAAAAAAAAAAAAAAAAAAAAAGGAATAAGATGACGGAAAAAACATGGTTTTCGAATTTAATTTGCAGTTACAAATAAGTAATAACCGTTTTCTAGTATTTTTGTATCTTGGCAAACAGTAGATTTTGACATACATCAGAAACGTTAATAAAATATATAGCCTATTCCATTTTGTCGTTCACCACATTACTTTGTCAACTTCATCTCTATGTAATTCCATTCGTCATAAAAAACATGCCATAACCTCAAGCGAATCACTATCAGACTAACTTACAACAATCATTGTGTTTAATGGGAGCCACTTCATCAACAACCTTAATTTCTTTCCACCCATCAAGATTTGGTTTTGACTCATCGTTCTTGGCTTCAAGACTCTTTTGACTTGCAATTTTATATATTTTAGTGATCATTTGGAGAAATGCATCTTCTACATTCAAATTCTCCTTTGCAGATGTCTCCAAGAAACATAACTTCTCTACTTCAGCAAGCTTTTGCCCATCTTCAACCTCGACTTCCCTCAAATCAACCAAATCACTCTTGTTGCCAACAAGAACAATAACCATATCAGGATCTCCAAACTCTTTAAGTTCCTGTAACCATTTCCTTACATTCTCAAAGGTTTCATTTCTTGTGATATCATAGACAAGCATCGCCCCTAGTGCTCCACGATAATATGAATTCGTTATTGCTCTGAACCTGTATGAAATGCGTATAATATATATATATATATATATATATATATATATATATATATATATATTTTCAATTAGCAGTATATGAAGATGGAGAAAGGATGAAAAGCTTGAGAAGTACTGAACATACCTTTCTTGTCCAGCAGTGTCCCATATTTGAGCTTTGATGATCTTATCACCAAGTTTAGTATTCCGATATGCAAATTCAACCCCAATTGTTGGCTTTGTATCCAAATGAAATTCATCTTTAGCAAACCTTGATAAAAGATTTGATTTCCCGACTGCTGAGTCTCCAATCAAAACTGTTTTAAATAAGTAATCACACTCTTCATCGGCCATGTGTTTATATTTGTGCTCTTTTTGGAAAGGTTGATGGTGAATATAAAGAGTGAGCAACATCGGAGAAGAGCATGATGGTTGTCATTGTTATAACGACTGAGCAACATTCCACATGAACAATTGAACATGATGGTTGTCACTGTTACTTGGTTTTTGAGAAAGGCATGCTCTTTTAATCAAAGTCAAGGATGATGGGTGGGCCCCATGTCCTATAATTATGGGCTACGCTTAATTTGTGGTAATTTAAACACTTTATGTGTCCCTCTCGAGATTGATCCATCCGGTACAATACATTTGCAGGTATCCTGTAATTCGGTAAGCCATGCCTTTTATATACGAATAAATTAATTTTTTAAGTAGAAATATCATTTTTCATTATATAGGTTTTTAGCTTAAAAATATAAAATTAGCGATTAAACATATATATAAAAATAGGATTAATGATAAATGTGTAGAAAGAAAAAAACTAATGATTAGGGCGTGTTTGGTACAAAGTTTTTGGAAGGTTTGGGTGGGAGCTTTTAGTTTTTAATTTTTGATAAAACGTTATATTTTAAATAAAAAAACTTTGTTTGGCAGGACGTAGCTTTTAGTTTTAACAAAACGTTCCGATTTTAAAAGTTACTTCATGTAGTGTTTAACAAAATGCTCCTGAGCTTTTGAAATCAATTTTCATAATTATCCTTAAAAATATATTTATATATTTATTTATTTTTAATCAATTGTCCTTTTATATAATTTTATATATTTCAAAAGCTTCGAGTTACTTTTGCTAAACTTTCATATAACAAATAAAAGCTACAGTTTTCCGCTACCAGCTAACTGCTACACGCTAGCAGCTATCCGCTTTCCAGCTAACAGCTACTTTTACCAAACACGCCCTAAATGTGTAAAAAAGTAAAATTAATGACTTGATTTATACCAAACAAAAATATATTAATGACCAAATCTACAGCGAAACCTACAATATATAATCCATTGTAATAATATTTTTTTTAACAATGTAAACATTTTAATAGTTAGATATGTAAAAAAAAAAAAAAAAAAAATTAATAACTAAACATGTAAAAAGTTTGCATATATCAAAGACTCTTTTGTAGTTCTTAAAAGATAAAGATAAATTTAATTACTTGCTTATCGGTAAAATATTATATTGTTATCATATATTAGACTGGTAAATGAAACAGTTAAATACCTAAAAAGCTTTACAATCGCTTAAACCACATTGTATGCAATTAAATGTGAATTGTGCTTAAAGACTTTGCTTACTTCAAAATGAAGATTGATGATAACTCATCATGTAACATCTACCTTTTGAACGGATTTGCAACCACAAAAGTTAGGTTTCAATATTAACGTTAGTAAAATCAAATTTAATCATGAATGATTTTGAAAATTGCTATTTTGGTGTCTCAATTATACTTGGGTGGTGTTCCTTTGTTTGTGAATTTTTTTTTTCATCATTTATCAATCATTCGGTGTTCGCTCTCTGGAACTTGACTCGTGGCCTCCTCTTCCTTCATCCAACAAATTATCTGCGTCTGCCCCTCTACTTGATCTCAACCTCTCCGCCTCTGTTCAAGATCTGGGAAGCTCCGGTTCTCAATCGGGTGATGATTCTACCTCTAATGAAATCTCCAATCTACTTAAGATTGGTGGTGATGTTGGTTTTCAGATCCCCCCAGATGCTCTAATCGTTGTGGATATCATCAATAATGGTGTTCCAATCGATATGGATGAAGTCAACAATGGTGAAGGTGTTAATAAAGTTTCCCAATGAATTGCTTAAGTTTGAACATCAGGGGCTGTGGGGAATCTCATAAAATTAATTGGATTCGTAAGTTGAAAAACTCACATAAAATTAATTTGAACATAGATTTCGATGTCGTGTTTGTTAATCCAGTTGGAAGATCTGGAGGGATTGTTAGCATCTTGGATCCAAATATTTTTGCCAAATCACAAATTTACTCTTCCAGACATTATCTAGCTATTTCGGGTCATTAGATCGGTGTTCCTAGAGTTACAACTATTGTTAATGTTTATGGACCTCAGCCTGTATCAGATAAAAGGAAACTTTGGAGGGATCTCATTAATTTAAAAAGTAGCCTGGATGGTGTATGGATATTTCTTGGAGATTTTAATGTTGTTGTTAGACATGAAGTTGAAAGAGTCAATTCCATATTTTGTCATTCTGCTGCAAGAGACTTCAACAAATTCATTGCAGATGCTGGACTTCAGGAATTCAATCTCGGTGGAAAAACAAAATTCACTTATCTGTGTGAGGATAGTTTAAAACTTAGTAAATTGGATCGCCTTCTGGTGTGTTCAAACTTCATTGCACATCAACCACTCACCTATGTTATAGCCTTACCACGAGAGTATTGCACCCACACTCCACTTGTGCTTATGCCCTCCAATCGTAACTTTGGCCCACCACCCATTAGATTCTTTAATTCCTGGTTATTCAGGGACGATTTTGGTAACACATTCGTATCTGCTTGCAGCTACTTTGTGGGTTTTGGAACGTCCGATATGTTCTTAAAGGCTAGACTCAAATATGTCAGGAAAAAAGTATGAACTGGAGGAATTTAGAGGAAGCTGCTGAAACTCGTTCTTTGATAGAAGTTGAGATATCGGAACGCAAAGAAAACAAGATCAAAATTTGTGAATTAGAGCGATTTGCAAAACTTGACCTTCAACAAAAAGAAAAAATTCGATGGTTAGTTGATTGTGATGATAACTCTCACTTTTTTCGTGGTGCAATAAAAAACAAGAATAGAAAAAAAATGCATGGTTTGATAATCAATGGTGTGTGGAACATTGAACCGGAAGCGATTAAACGCGAGGTACATCAATTTTTCAAAGACATGTTTCACGAAAAATGGCCGGTCAGGACAAAGTTTATCAACCCTAGTTTTAAAATCCTCTCTCCCCTTCATTGTTCGATCCTCAATGCCCCAATTTCACCTAAGGAGATCAAACAAGCGATCTGGTGCTTGGGGGGAGGGGGATCTCCTGGACCGGATGGATACACGTTTAAGGTATTAAAAAAGAAATGGGATCTCATTAAACACGATAACATCAGATTTGTTGCACATTTCGAATCAACAGGAAGGTTCGCAAGACGATGCATTCCTCATTTATCACTCTAATCCCTAAGATCAAGGACCCGATGAACTTGGGTGATTATAGGCCATTGGCTTAACCGGATGCATGTATAAAATTGTTTCCAAAATCTAGGCTTCACGACTAAAACAGCTGATTGGTGATGTCGTGAATGAGGTCCAATCCACTTACATAGAAGGTAGACATATCCTTGAAGGCCCCCTGGTAATCAACGAAGTTATTGCATGGCCAGAAAAGACTGGGAAACAAATCTTTCTCTTCAAGATTGATTTTGAGAAAGTTGTTGATTCAATTAATTAGGGATACCTAGAATCTACAATGGAACAAATAGGATTTAGTCAGAAATGGAGACATCTTAATCATGGGTGTTTAACATCTTCAAGGGCATCTGTCCTCGTCAACGGATCCCCAACATAGGAATTTTCCATATCAAAATGAGTTCGATAGAGCGACCCACTATCACTTTTCCTATTCATAATAGCAATGGAGGGGCTACATATTGCGGTCAAAACAACACTGGAAAAAGATCTCATCCAAGGTATCTCGTTACCATATAACGGACCTACCATTTCACAATTATTTTATGCAGACGATGTCATATTCCTTGGAGAATGGAATAGGAGTGGCATTAAAAATCTGGCCATAATATTAAAATTCTTCCACATATGCTCAGGGCTGAGGTCAATTTTCATAAATCACGACTATATGTCATTGGAGTTTCGCATTACGAACTACCTTCGCATGCTAAAATATTGGGTTGTCAAAGAAGTTCACTTCGATTTACATACTTGGGGGTCCCAGTTGGAGCAAATATGACGTTAAAGAAACATTGGAGGCTAATCATTGATAAATTCCAAGCACGCTTATCAACTTGGAAAGCCAAAACTCTTTCCTTTAGGGGGTGACTCACCCTTATCAAATCAGCCCTAAACAGTCTCCCAATGTACTATCTTCCCTTATTCAAAGCTCCATCTGGCATTATTGATGATCTTGAAAATTTGAGAAAAAGGTTCTTGTGGGGCGGGGATGACTCAAAAAAGCAAAATTCAATGGGTTTCATGGTTAAAAGTTGTAGCTGCTAAAAAGGATGGTGGTCTTGGGGTCGGTTCATTAAGAGCCCAAAATTTGGCATTGCTTACAAAATGGTGGTGGAGATTGAAGGCAACATCGGGGGGATTATGACAGAAGAGCATCCACATTATACATAATTTGACAAACAAGCTAGTCACTTATATTGTGAAAGCCTCACTTGGTAGTACCTGGTATAATATCGCTAAGGCAATAAAATATCTCCATGAATTTGATATCAATCACCAAGAAGTTTGCACTCTAATTCCCAATTCAAATGTCAATATCTTGTTTTGGAAGGATCGATGGTGTGACTCACTAACTTTACAGGAACGATTCCTTAGATTATATGCTATTGAGTCAAAAAAAAATCATGTATGATATCAGATTGAAACATGTTTTTAATGAAGGTGGAAATCGACGACTATGGATGGGGAGTTTTTAGTTGATTTTATGGAATTATGTTCCATCATACAAGGCGTTAACGCAAACCCTACACCAATCGGGCCCCGCTTTAACTTAAATCCAGATGGAAGTTACACGGTCAATACCTTGCGAAAAAAGATAAACTCCTCCTCAAACTCCTACTCTGGCATAACAATCAACTGGGCAAAAGCAATTCCTTTGAAAGTTAAATGCTTTGTCTGGAGAACATTAATGGGTAGGTTGTCGGTGGCAACAAACTTGACAAACCGGGGAGTTAGTTTCGTAAACACAAATTGCCCTTTGTGCAATGGCGAACAGGAAACAGGCGATCATCTATTTGTTTAATGTCCTATAGAAACTGAGGCGAGATCTTGGATATTTAAATGGTGTGGTATTCCAGCAACCAACTTCGAAACAGTTACTGAATTACACAATTTTACACATACATGGGGGAATAGTCCAAGAAAAAGGGAGAGATTCAAGGTGGTAATCTACGAGATGCTTTGGTCTACGTGTCTGGCTAGAAACAACTCCATCTTTAAGGCGTCGAAAACGATACCAACTAGGATTGCGGACAAGGTGAT